GTGCACCTCTACCTAAGGCAAAGAACTGGGAATCTTTCTTGAATCTTTTCTCTCACCTATCCCTCACATACCACGATCCCCAGATGTCATGAGTATACTAGCAAAATGTCTTTTGAATCCCTCCCTCTTCTACCCTACTTCCGGTGTTTGGCTCTGTTTAGCATCATTTTGTCTTTCCTGGATTATTGCTGGAGACTATCAACTGGTCTTCATTTAGTCAGGCAGAACCTGTAGTCTCCACTGGAGGCCAGAATGCAGATGTAATCAGTGTCCCCTGGTGTTCAATGCCCTTTTGAGCCCTCAGGAGAGACAGGCTCAGGAGAGACATCAGCAGTAGTTCTCTCAGTACCCCTCTTCTACCTCTGTGTTTCAGTCAAGCCAAAAAGTCTTTGATTACCAGACCTTCCCTTATATTCAGATTTTTGTGCATCCTGTTCCTTTGCCTCCCTCCTTCGCTTAATTGGCTTCTCTTCTTCCTTTAAGCGTCTTCTTAGGTATCACTTTCTCAACCTGTGTTTGCACTGAAGCTCCTTAACCAGGATTTGGTGTGTAACCTGGAAATCTCTCATCCACACCTGAAACATTTGATGACCGCCTCGGTAGAAGTGTGTGTACTTCATTGTCTCTTATGTACTTCCGTTCCTGTACTTGCTGTTTTCTTTTCCCAAACCTGTTCTCCCACTGTTCTCCTGCCCTCTCAGATTTTCCATTATGACTTCAGGAGCACACATCTGCAGTAAACACACTTACCTATAAAGAAAACCCATTATTTTCTTTACTATATTCTGTGGAGTAAGTTAAGTATTCCCAGAAAAGGAAATTTATGGTTAAAAGGCTCAGGAAACCCTAATTTAATAGTTTCCCCACCAGTGTGTATTGTGAATTTCCAGGGTGGGGGTGGCGAGTGGATATAGTGCGGATCAGTTTTCACACTTCCATATCACGTGATGTTAACATCTTCACAGGCCAGTGCTTCCACTAACTGGTTTTAAAGGACACTTGGCTTTGAAACAAAGAACAACAAACAAAAACTGAAATTCTTTGAGTGGAAGCTGCTTCTGCCTCCATCCTGTAAATTTCACAGTAGGGAGGTTGCTGGTAGCCTCCACTTCCCGAGAGCCAGTTTGAGGTCACTGCTTCTCTAGTCTTTTGTCAATATTCCTGCCCCTTTGAGGCTCCTTGGAAACTCTTTTGAGGACCTTCATATCCTATGAAATTTAGCTCCACCGAGATAACGAGCTAGGGTTCTTTTCTTACATACTTTTCCTACGGGCTACTTTTACCACCATCTTGAGGAGGAATCCAAGGCAGTGTTCTGGCTCATCAGGATCACATGTATTAGTTTATTAGTGATTATTCTTGATGGAGCCAGGATATTATATCACTTATCATCTCTATGCACTTCAATTTCCTACCATTTGTCCCGTGTCATTTACAAATCTCTCATTTGATCTTCCATCTCCTTTAAAGAGCTCTCCCTCCCACCAGCTCTCCAGATAATTCTAAGTAACTTCAGTATCCATGTGGAAAACAGCAAACATAAGCCTCATAGTTTTCTTCCTTTTTTTAATGTTTATTTATTTATTTTGAGAGAGAGAGAGAGAGCACACAGCGGAGGGATAAAGAGAGGAGAGAGGGAATCCCAAGCAGGCTCCATGCTGTCAGCATAGAGCCCAACCTCACAGAATCATGAGATCTTTTTTAAAAAATTTTTTTAAATGTTTTTTTATTTATTTCTGAGAGAGAGACAGAGACAGAGACAGAGACAGAGAGAGACAGTGTGAGCAGGAAAGGATCAGAGAGGGAGGGAAATACAGAATCTGAGGGAGATACAGAATCTGAGGCAGGCTCCAGGCTCTGAGCTAACTGTCAGCACAGAGCTGGACGCGAGGCTCTAACCCACGAACCGTGAGATCTTGATCTGAGCCGAAATCAGCCGCTTAACTGACTGAGCCCCCCAGGCACCCCAGTAATTTGCATTTAGCAATGTTTCATATTTGAACAATTTAATGTGTTGAGGGGGGTTAAAAGCAAATAAAATTCATCCAAATGCTTTTCTCAAATTTGGTAACAATACAGTAAAGGTTCAGAGCAATAATACTTTATATACTTGGTAAGCTCTCCTGAAGTTCTAAAGTTTCAAAGTCTTCTTAGGCTTCCTTTTCTTTCCTTTCCCTATGGTTGTTAGCTTTTTTGCATCTAATATTCTTTGATACTACCGTATTTTCCCAGCCCCTTCAGTCTTGTGGTATGTTTCCTACTTAATCTGTAACTCTGAGCTATTCTCACTAGCATATTCTCTTCTTTCTCCTGTACCTACCGATACACTGAATCAACCCAGCAAAACCTCAACTTTGCATGTGTGCCCAATGCAGCTCCCTGCTGGTTCCCATATTTGGTGAAGTGATTATTGCTAAGGGTAATCACAACAACCTTGTAGTCCATACTCTTGCATGGCACACAAACCTCCCTTCAAGAAGTTTTATCTCTTCAGTCTTGTATCTTTGAGGCATTACCTTTGTCTTTCTGTTCCAGTAGAGGGCAGACAAGTTTAACTTGCGTATGACTAGACTATCTCTATCTCCCTACACCTGCCGTGTCATGTTTATGAGATCAGACTTAGAGTTCTCTCCACCCTAACTTGCCTTTGTTCATACCATTTTCCCTGATTGGACCACGTTCTAACCCTTGTGCTTCACCCACTGACAATCTGCTCTACAAAAATTCTTATATACCTTAAAGATTCATCTTCACGCCCACCCCGCACACCCTCCCACACTATCCCCTCTTTATAAAGGACTCCATCATTTGTATGTATGTACTTTAAATAGAAGTCCTGTTTTCCAGTGCTGTCAGAATTGAGAGTTGAGCAATTAATTGAAAAAGTTGATTAAAGCTAGAGTTAAAAAAAATACATGCATACATGAAACATTTTATTTCAACTTAGAACAGAAATACATTCATTTGCTTGTTATCTCATGTATGACTAAGGGATTTTTTTTTTGAGTATGGGAACTTGGTTGGAATTCATTGTTCCTTCGTGAATTCTGAACCTATAATGCATCCTATACATTTCCAATTTTGGTGTTTTTTCTTTTCTTTCTTTCTTTTTAACACAAGCAGGGGAGAGGGGTAGAGAGAGAGAAAGAGGGAGAATTTTAAGCAGGCTCCAAGCTCAGTGTGGAGCCCAATGTAGGGCTCAATGCCACAACTCTGGGATCATGACCTGAGATGAAATCAAGAGTTGGATACTCAACCGACTGAGCCACCCAGGAACCCCTCCTATTTAGGTTTAAAAGAAAGAATTCAAGCCATTTGTGTAGCAATCTGAGCACAGAATCCTACATTTGTATGGTTTTACCCCCACCAATCTTTTCAGTTATATGGTCCATACCTACTTCAATAATAGTTTGTTTTTCTTATGGGGACTTACTGTTATAAAGTCTTTCTGAGGCATTAAATCATAGAAATAACAGTTGTTTTTCTTTTTTACTTGTATTTTATTGGTTTGGTTTGTGGAGTATTTAAAGTAGTATTTATAATATACATATGTGGTTTGTGAACATAAACTCAGCTGATGGGGAGGGAGGTGCTTCATAATCAGAATGTTGTAGACACTAGTCAGTGTTTTACTGAGGGAATGGATATTATGTTGATTAACCTGGCAAGGTGATTGAATGGAAGTTGGAGTTTCTACTGTAACAATTTTTATTGCTTATCTCCCTTTATTACACTGTGAGTTCAGACACCATGCACAGTACCTACTGTATATGTTAAGTATGTATTTTTTGTGTGAACGAACAAATGCTTGTATAGGTCATACTAAATTCAAATAATCAGAAAGAATATTGGGCTGAGAATCAGCTAGTATAGACAGATCATTGGCCCTGGAGCCATACTGGGGTTTGAATCCTTTCTCATTTGTCTTTCTTGAGCAGATTACTTTCTCTGTTTCGTTTGGGGAATGAGGATAACAATAGTCTTTGGGTTGTGTGAAGGTTAAATGGGAATGTAAAATATGTAACATTGTGCTTGACAGAGTAAGCAGTCCACAAGTGCTGATTTTCCTGACGGTGCTTATCACCAGTGAGGAGACTATGGGACTTCGCTTGGTCGAATTTTTCATATTAAGGGACTTGAATAACATAATATATCAATTTCTTTCTAGCTTTAAAATTCTCTTTTTATAAATATTTTATGTTTTGGGCAGATTTATGTAACAAATATGTGGCTATTCCTTGATTTGTCACATTTATAGATTTGATAAAGTAGGTAATTACTTAGGTGATCCTAACTTTACACCTTGAAAAACAAATACTTTCAGGCTTTAGAACATCATTTGTTAGGGAGTTGAACTCTAATAAAGTATGAAGAACAGCTCAGCTCTACTAAGACTGCCACGCTATCTACATAAGGACTAAGTAAGGTAGGAAGTAGAGAAGGAAGCTCTGAAGAGATTGTTTGGAAACATTAGCTCAGAAGAAGTGAGATAAAATTAAGCTCTGGACTCTAAATTTATGGACAGATTAACTATTTGAACCATAGATACACATTTGTTATAAATTTAGGTCAAAAACATTTCTTTAATGTTTATTTTAGAGAGAGATAGCACAAGTGGGGGAGAGGCAGAGAGAGGGAGACACAGAATCTGAAGCAGTCTCCAGGCTCTGAGTTGTCAGCACAGAGCCTGATGCAGGACTTGAACTCATGAACTGCGAGATCATGACCTGAGCCGAAGTTGGATGCCTAAATGACTGAGCCACTCAGGCACCCCATAAGTCTAGGTTTTCAGTTTTCATGTTGATCACATTTTCTTCCTGATTAAAAAATGGGGATAGACTGAGAAAGATGGAAATGTAATGCTTTTTTGGAATGGGTCTGAGGATATTTTCCATTCAGCGTCCCAAATTTTGGTTTGTTTGAAGAAATAAGTGATTTAGCAAAATTACTTTTAGCATTCATTCTACAGCTGATGCTTATACTTAGTTTTTATATTGCAGTTATCATTTAGTATGGAAGAAGATGAGTTCTTTGGAGAAAAAACATTCCAGCATTGTTGTGCAGAATTCATTAGACATTCACATCAGATAGGTGATGGCTGGGAATGGAGAACTTCGAAGGTAAGAACAGAAATTTTTTATATTCTATATCAATGAAGGTTTTATTTTTTTGCCCATGTAAACCTCAGTAATTGAAACTAATGTGTGAAAGCTAGTTTGATTTAGTAAAAGACTTAAATTGAAGAATGTTTAAAACAGATGTCCATTTTATTGCTTCAACTATATATACTCATTATAATTAGGCTAATGAAGTATTATCTAGAAAAGTCCTAAGGTGACCTGCTTTAATTTAATAGATAAGAATGCTTAGCATATTAATTATCTGAATGTAAACAAGTGCTTCTGTGGTGCTTCAAACCATTTATTTACACTATTAATTTTCTTAGGAAAGTACTTTTGTCCAGAGAGTGGAAAGATAATCCTGAAACCAAATGATCGTCAAACAATCACGAATTCTGAAACATTGAGGATTGAATTAATTGGGGATTTGTTAATAATGTAAACACATTTCAAAACATTCTTTCTTTTGATTCTATTCAGTAATAATAATGTATTTCCACACATACATTTTAGTTAAGATTCTTTGCCACAAGCTCTTGAAGAATTCATTGAAATGATTTTCAGAGAGTATGCCTCCTCTGCTTGGTGACTTAATTTCATTCCTAAAAAAGTGGTGATTCCTGTTTTTCTGCTTATTGGCTCTGTTTTCTCTATGAATTCTGAGAAATGTGAATCGTTTTGAGCTGATTCCTATGATTCAGAACTAAGCCAGGGAAATGCAGGTCTTGATCCAATCCAAAGTACCACTGGAGAGAGAAGCCATGATGTCCTTTGGGCCATATGCCAACTAAGCTTTCATGGGGATGGGGGTGGGGTGTGTAGGGGAGACTCCAGCCCTACTCTTTAAGTCAGTGATTGGACAGTTCATAAGCACCTAAGGCATCTCCTGCTTCAGGATAACATGACCTTATTATTAGCTCCTACTATTAATCTTTTTCCTGAGTATTTTATAATTTTGTTTGCTATTGTTCTTGAATTTTTATTCATCTTATTTCTTCTATGATTATTGACATATTAAAGAGTTGCTCCTTTTTGTATACCAACTTTTAACCATTCCATCACCTAACTGAGTTCTTTTAGTTCTCAAAGGTTGTCAGTGTCTGTGTCTCCTAAGGTAGCATGAAGTCATCTGCAAATGAGGAGATTTTGTTGCTTTTTTTGGTAATATTTCTCTTATTTTATGAGTTGAGTAGAAAAATAAGTAATAGTGATAACATATCTCCTTGTCTTCATCAACTTTAATAGCAGTGTTTCTGATACGTAATCATTTTTAAAAGCGCTGGTTGTTTATTCATTGAATGTGTGTAGCTTTCTGACCCTTTTAGACCTGTAATAATTTGATGGTTATTTCTTTGAAATTTTCCTTTTTACCAGATTTTTAAAAAAGTTTATTTATTGGGGCGCCTGGGTGGCTCAGTTGGTTAAGCGTCCGACGTCGGTTCGGTCATGATCTCACGGTTTGTGGGTTTGAGCCCCGCATCTGGCTCTGTGCTGACAGCGAGCTCAGAGCCTGGAGCCTGCCTCAGATTCTGTATCTCCCTCTCTCTCTGTCCCTCCCCTACTCACACTGCCTCTCTCTCAGAAATAAATAAAACATTAAAAAATTTTTAAAAATCTTATTTATTTTGAGAGAGAGAGAATGAGCAGGAGAAGGGCAGAGAGAGAGAGAGAGAGAGACAGTGGGAGAGAGAGCATGCCAGCCCTGAGTCCAATGTGGGGCTTGAACTCAGCAACAGTAAGATCATGACCTGAGCCAAAATCAAGAGTTGGATGCTTAACCAGCTGAGCCACCCAGGTGTCCGTCACCAGATTTTTAAAAAAAGAAAATTTCTTTTGTCTTAATCTGAAAGTAGAATAATAGATTTCCAGTTACCATTTAAGTGACCTGAATGGGTTAGGGAGGGAGCTGGGACTGTGTTTATATATGTGTGTGTGTGTATGTGTGTGTGTGTGTGTGTGTGCGCGCGCGCGCGCACGAATGTACATGTTAAGGGGTGCTGGGATAGGTCTCCAGGAGGTAGATTCATAAAATAATCCTTAAATATCTGTTAGAAATTTCTTCCTTGAATTTGTTGAAACTAGAGCACCAAGAACTAGTGTCCAGGATTTGTTTTTATTCCTGTCTGACTCCTGCCTCAGGTATAGGTATGGCTGTGTTTGGCTCCTTGTTTGTTGCTACTGCCTGCTGAGTAAGAAAAGTTCCCTAACCTTTGGAATGAGAATTGCACTTCTAATTAAAGGCACTTTTCTTTAATGTGGGGGTGAGCCCAGAGATAGTACCAAAACAAAACAAAACACTGTTTAGAGAAAATCTTTATAGCCTTAGGGCAAGAACTGCAAACTCAAAATCCTTGGAGTCTGGGCATGGTAACATAAATGAGTCAAGCTGCTAGGTACAAGACAATATGGGCACTGAATTCCGTGGCCTGTGGCTGACCACAGTGCTTGTCTTATTGCCAGGTTGGGAATATGGACCCAGGGGTTACCAGATCTTCCAAAAAAAAAAAAAGATTTGGGAGGAGAAATCTCTAAATTTTCAAATATTGGTAACTAATTAAAAAAGATTTTTTAAGGACCAAACCCAACATGCCAGTGATGTATAATATGTGGGATATGTGTGACCAGTTGATGACTTCTGGGATTGGGTGCATGTGTGTGGTAGAGCTGGGGTTTCTTACCTACCTCTGCCTCAGTGCATGGTGTTGATCTGAATTAGTAAAGGGGGCTCTGTGCAAAGCAGATACCTTTCTTCTGAATTTTGGGATGTTAGTATTTTTGCCACTTAATTTCTGCAGTTTTGTATTACTTTTATGAAGTAAATGATGAATCAGTTAGTCACTTGGTTATTTCCTTCAAACCTCCCATATGTATATATCTCAGTTTTTTGTGGGACTGTTGTGGAGAATACTTATACTGTTGCTTTACTTTATAGGTGCCAGAAATTTATTTTCATTTTAGTAAAAAAATAGTTGTCTTTAAGTATAGTTGGGAAACAACAAACTGAACATATTTCAAGTGCACAGTTTGATGTTTTGATGTATGTATAGACCCTATGAGCCCTCACAACATTCAAGAGAGTGAGCACATACATAACCTTGTATATCCTTGTATACCTCTGTATGCCTCCCATCTACCCCTAAAAGTCCTAAAAGTCATTTTTTCCCCTGAAAGTTATTTTTAGGAACAATCTTGATGTGCCACCTGAGTGGCTCAGTTGGTTAAGCGTCCAACTTCGGCTCAGGTCACAATCTCACAGTTCGTGAGTTCTGTGCTGACAGCTCAGAGCCTGGACCCTGTTTCAGATTCTGTGTCTCCCTCTCTCTGCCCCCACCCCCTGCTTGTGCTCTCTCTCTCTCTCAAAGAATAAATAAATATTAAAAAAAAATTAAAAAAAGAATCTTGTTTATCTCTATATATAGAGCCTCCTTTACGAAGTACACATCTTGTCACTCATACCTTCAGGCTTATTTATAAATAGCTTTGGCATCATCCATTTTATTATTATATTTTTTTAATGTTTTATTTATTTCTAGGAGAGAGAGAGACAGCGTGAGCAGGGGAGGGTCAGAGAGAGAGGGAGTCACAGACTGAAACAGGCTCCAGGCTCTGAGCTGGCAGTCAGCACAGAGCCCGACACGGGGCTCGAACCCACGAACCACGAGATCACGACCTAAGCGAAAGTTGGACGCTTAACTGACTAAGCCACCCAGGCGCCCCCATCCATTTTATTTCTTAAATTTAAGACAATCATGACAATATTTAGACTTTGTTAAATTCAACTTTATAGATAAGGCAAAACATCATTTTTCCTGCAAAGCTAATGAGAAGAGCAGTGTGAATTAATGAAACATATAAGTAATTAAAAAAATTTTTAAATAAAACAGTTTCTTAAAGTCATAAAAACAGTCTCAATTTTTATATCTTAAAAGTATGCAGAATACGGAGAATAGTTCTAAGTCATTATTTTTCAGTGGGACTGCATGCTCTTGGCGTCTGGACAGGACTTTCTTGTTTCCCTACCCCCAACATTTACACACCTCTCAGGGAGCTGGTACACTCTTGTTGAGAGCCATTGTTTGACAGAATGGTTTGTCATATATTAAAGACACAAATTAAGAGCATAAACTTCAGAGTTCAACATGGCTATAAGGGGCGCCTGGGTGGCTCAGTTGGTTAAGTGTCTGACTTTGGCTCAGGTCATGATCTCACGGTTTGTGAGTTCGAGCCCTGTGTCGGGCTCTGTGCTGACAGCTAGCTCAGAGCCTGGAGCCTGCCTCAGATTCTGTATCTCCCTCTCTCTCTGACCCTCCCCTGCTCATGCTGTCTCTCTCAGAAATAAATAAAACATTAAAAAAAATCATTTTTTTACCCTTTAACTAGCTGGATTTTGGACAAGTTAGTTAAGGTCTCCAAAACTTCTTTTCTCTCTTTTTTTTTTAAGTTGTTTAAAAATGTTTATTCAGTTTTGAGAGAAAGAGTGTGAGTGGGGGAGGGGCAGAGAGAGAGGAAGACAGGAATCTGAAGCAGGTTCCAGGCTCTGAGCTGTCAGCACAGAGCCTGACGTGGGGCTTGAACCCACAAATTGTGAGGTCATGACCTGAGCTAAAGTCAGATGCTTAACCAACTGAGCCACCTAGGCACCCCTCATTTTCTTTATCAGTAAAATTAATTGATTAATTTAAAATAATACCCACCATACAACATTGTAGTTGTGTAGATCAAATGAGATTTACAATCAGAGTTTAGCACAGTTTCTGTCACATGGAAAATCAAATTATGGTTACCATTTTAGCTGGTTGTTTGGAATTTTCAGTGTCTTTTATTACAGAAATAATGCTATAAATGAAATTACAGTTAACTTTTCACAAAATTCTGTTAAGGTTTATTTAGCACCAAATGTACTGGTCTTGGTATATTATTCTGAGTCTATTAGGATAAAGAAGAGCAAAAGATGGCAAATAACAATGAATGCAACATCCTGAAAGACAATCTTAGAAACC